ACGCCGCCGTTCTCTTGTCGGTTCCAGAGAGACTCCCTGCTGCTGGAGCCCACCAATGTGGCCAACTGCGTCTCCAAGGGGAAGTCCGAGGTTCGTATTGTGTGCCGTTGGCGTTCTCTCTGTCCTCGCACGCAGAGGTGTGGGTGAGGGAGGGGAGGGAGTCGCACCGTGAGAGCTCCCCTCACCCCCCCCCCCTCTCCCACTAGGCCACCGACGCCACGCTCAGCCTGTCGGCCGGTCTTTTGTTGCAGCACTTCGACTGCCGGAACCACATCCGGGTCCTGCAGCCAGTGGACGACGGCAAGCGGCTGTACGTGTGCGGGACCAACGCCCACAGCCCCAGGGACTGGGTCATAAACGTGAGTGCGAGGGAGGAGAGAGGCCGGGAGGGAGAGAGATGGAGAGAGATAGAGGGAAGGGGGATTACAATGTCGCTGACCCCCGCTTCTCTTCTCAGAACTGACAAGAAATAAGGTGATGTATAGACTAATGTAAGACGGGTATGCAGTCTATTGTCAATCCGTAAACAAGCTGGATACCGTATGCACATTTTTTATGACTTACCACGTGTGCAATTTATGTACGAACAATATGCATGAAATGGCTTATTCGTGTGTAAGTGTGCCGGGCTCAGTTGTGTCGTGTTCCTGGCCGGATGGCGTGCAGCCACGGCTGGCGCCGGGTTTAACGGCGGTGTGCGGATTTGGAATAATTGTTCGATGGCCAGGACGGACGCAGTAAAACAAATCCCCAGCCGATCGTGGACGTGATCCGTGGCGGATGGAGAACAGCTCTATGAGCGGTCAGATTTGTCTTGCATAGTGCTGAAGAAAACACAACCCATGTATACGACAATTTTCGTAAATGTATTTAAAAAGAAAATTTGACTCGCATGAAATAATGTAAATCACATATAAAGAGTTGACGGGTTTCAAAAATGTAGGACGGCAAAGGGTAATTTGACATTTCAACTGTGACATAGTACAACTGGACGGATAACGGTTTACACCTGTCATACTTAAGTTTATTTTTTGTTCCTTTTATTTTCGAGCGGGGGGAATGTGCTGGTTGATGTCATTTCACACACGTGCTCCAATACAGGACCTGTGGCTCGTAAGGCGATGGTCGGCGATAGTCTTGCACACCCGCCCTTCGCTATGCGATATGCACAATTCACGGCGAAAAGTCGACCGCGCGCCTCCTTGATATATGCCATGCCGTCGTGTTGCGGACCACCGTCGTGGCGTAGCGTGGGGTGGCGTGGGGTTGCGCGGGGTGGCGTGGGGTGGCGTGGCGTGGGGTGGCGTGGGGTGGCGTGGAGTGGCCTGGCGTGGCGCGACGTGGCGCGGCGTGGCCGGGGGGGACCTGTAACACGCGAGCACGGGCGCGCGTGCCCTGTTCGCGCCGAGTGTGTATTTGTGAAGCTCGCGATACATCGGGACCCACGCACCGACCGAAATAGGCGCGCGACTGCCTGTTGTCGGCGCGTCGTGTCACCCGTCGGTATAGGGGGGCTGTTTAATGCACCAGCAGGTCACCCCCGAGTGGTCTGTCCCGCCCGGCGGCGTCCGCGATGCATCGCAAAGGCGCACTGCTGCGCGCGCCGGTCGATGATTCGGACTTTGAGAAAGACATGAGGAGGAGGGTGATTGACTCGGAGCGACCAAAGAGCAGAAAATTACCGTCGGTCGTGGGAATAAAGATGTCATGCGCGCGCGCTCGTGTGTGTGGTGCACGCACGTGTGCGTATGCAATGTGTGTGTGTGAGTGTGTGCACTGTCCGCGTTGTGTTTGCAGCAATCGCTATTGCACCTGGGACTCGATGACCACTGAGCAGATTGCGTTTGCGCAATCCACACCCCGTCCCCTTCCGCGCCTGCCCTCGCCCGCATACCGCCCCCGATGCCGCCCCCATGCCGCCCCCACGCCACCCCCGCCAGCGGCGGCCCCGACCTGTGATGGGGGGGCAGGACTTGCCCGCCAACACTTCGGCAGTCTTAATTTCCATTAGACTGGGAATGGCCCTGCGGCCGCGCCTGCCTGTCGTGTTAATGGCGCAAGTTTGCCTGTCACTTCCTTCTTTGTGGCCTACACCAACGCCAACCGGCACCATCGGGGGCAGCGCCGGGCGGGGCGCGGAGG